TTTTTTTATTCTCTTACCGGTAAGATAATATTTTCCGTACCATTCGAGCCATTCGAGCCTCACTTTCTCGAGCTATGGAGCATTTTCCTTCTTTTTATTTAAATTCATAATATAACACATTATGCGAGTACCAACTGGTACTGTTTGGCTAATCAGAAAGTTGTTGAGAGAATCTCTTCATTTTGGGTTTTGGAGTTTTTATTAAGGGGGTTACATTTAGGTAGAAAAAAAAGAAAAAAAAATTATTAACACATGGTGGATACAACTTATAAGTGTGTTTATGGTGGGTTGTAAATGAAAATACCCCTCCATGTGTTGATTGTTTTTTCTCTAACTCTTACTTGTATATAGTTCTCCCGTTCAATAATAGTGTGACAGTGTCAAAACTGCGTCATTAATCATTTTACTTTTACTTTTACTTTCATTTATTTGCAAGACGTATGGTCACACATTTGATTTAGACAACAAAAATGATTGAGAGCTTTAATTTTAGAGCTCTAGGAGGAGCTTTAATGGTGATATAATGTTTATGCTTGCTTTTTATTTTTCTATGCCACATCATTAGAGCTCAAATTAGAACTCTAGTTTTAGAGCTCTTAATCACTACTCTTTAAACAATTCATGCTGTTTATTTTTTTAAAATTTTATGTATAAATTATTTATGTAAATATCAAATTGATCTGATAATCGTATATATAATTTTATCATTTTTTTAAAAAATAATGGATGAGAAACATAATTTTAAAATTAGATAATTTATTTTTAAATATTAAAATAATAAAATTTGGTTTCTAAGATTGTTTATCAATATGATATTTTATATGAATAATTTATATATAGAGATCTAAAATATGACTGCGTGAATTATAGAATGTGGATTGAAGAGAAGTCAATCAAAATAATAATAATAATAATAATAATAATAATAATAATAATAATAAATAGTTTTTTACTAATTTCAAATGCTGGACAAACAAATGTTTCTTTAAAAACATGGTTACAAATCACACTTTCTGTTCATAGCGTGTTTCCAAATCGCACTATTATTTAAGCTTGAAAACGCTAATAGCAATAGCGGTTTCTTAATTAAAGTCATGTTTTCTAACCACACTTTTATGATTTTGTTTAATTTGTCCGCTTGGGCCAAAAACATGCTGAAAGCGTGTTTTGTAAACACGCTTCAACTTAGTTTGGGAAATTCGGCCAAACTAGGCTTTAGTTTGGAAAATAAATTAGTACCTAGGCTTAGTTTGGGAAAAACCCCTTTGTAATTTACCCTTTTAAGCAAGGAAATAATATGGTACACAATCTTCAAGTAGGTATACCATATGCACCTTATAATTAGAGAAGAAAATGACATAATTTCATACTTTTAAAGTCATAACTAAAAAAAAAATGTCATAACTAAACACAACATGAGACATAACTAAAGACTTGATGAGATATAATTAAAATAATGTCATAATTAAAGAAGAAGATTTTTCATAACTAAAAAGGAAAGTGACACAATTAGGGATGCATATGGTATACCCCTTTTAAGAGTGTGCATATTAGAATTTCCCTTTTCAGTAAATAGGTGTTTCTAAAATCTAGAAATGGAAGTTAACCACATGCATTATATTGGTATTAATTATGAATTATGCACAAATAAATATATTTTTTATGACTAGGTATTCGAGCCAGTTTATGTGCACTATGACTAATTCTGCGACTCACGCAAATCTTGGACAGAACTAGCGGGTGAAAATAATGGTTATGAGGGTGAAAATAACAAATTATCAAATTAATGTCTATTATGATCAATTACAGTGTTTTGGTTAAGTTACAACTATGATGGTTTTAGTGACGACTAAAAATAGCATTCAATTATAGTTTAAAATTTTTGTTTATGACCCAAATGACTATAATTAATGGCGCATTTATTTTAATTTTTTTAGTTTTAATTGCCGAAAGTGAAAGTATATATGGTATACTTTTTTTTACAACCATGTATAATAAACTAGGAATAGACATGGCTAACAGTTTTTTTGGTACCACACGTGCTACAAATCTCAATTGTAAAATCAATTCAAAATGATAATACCACTCCAATTTATAACGTCATAGATAAGAAGCTGAAATTGTTTCCACATATTGAACTGGCAAACACATTCATAAATTTCAAATAGCCAACTTCAAAATTAAAGCCCAAATAATAAATTTTATATTTCAGTGTAGCATAATCAAAGAATCTAAAAATATTTGTTGGAATTTAAGTCCAAATAGCAAAATTTAAAATTTAATCCACATAAAAATGACACATGTATTGCAAATCTTCTATAAAAAGAATGTTACTGAATTAGTATCATAACTTTCGTTCAAAAAAAAAAAATTAGTATCATAACTGATAACCCTTTCACTTTATCAGACTTCAATACCTTCAAGAAAAAGGTAAATGAAAATTTTGGTACAAAAGAGTAATCATCCTAGCTAACCAAAAAAAATAATTTAATCACCTAGTTTAGAATGAGAGCCAACCAATGACACACATAGAGAAAAACCACATAACGCAACGTTTCTAATATGGATTAGTCGCTTGTTCCAATCTAAACCGACCATCCTTTCTTAATGTTGACCACCTTCGATCAACCCAATTTGAAATATCAAAAAGTCTGCTCTTTAATATAAGCTCAACCTAAGGTCCATTTTATTTTAGCAAGTGAAAGAGATCTTTGATTTTTTTTTTTTTTTTTTTAAAGATCGGGAAAAAAAATCTTCATTGCAAAACCGATAAAAGATCAAATCAATTTAATACAAAAGGAAGGATCCAAAACTCCATAGAGGAGGAGAAAAGGCCCTCACAAGGTAGGGAAACAAACCTCTACATAAGAAAGATTATTATATCAACAAACTAAAAATTTAAAAAAAAAAAATCAAATAGAAAAAAACCAAATCCAAGTCCTTACCAAACTCATCCAAAACTCCAATACTTTGCAATCTTCAACTTGGAATTTGAAAACTCCACCTCCGCTGGTTAAGATAGAACATTAAGGTTAAGGTGGTCGCTTAGCGTGAAACAAACGTGTTATTAAGCGTTGGTTTTTGGATTGTGAAAAGATCTGAAACCAAATCTTAAAGTGTGGAGAAAAGTAAGGCAATGATAGTCAGATTGATGAAGCAAATATCAAATTTGGAGGAGGATCAGAAAGAAGGAGAGGAGATGAAGATTGGAGTAGTGGGGGAACCACCGTCGTCTCCCTCTCTCCTTTGAGGAAAATCTAGAGAGAAAAGAAAAAGAGTTTCAGGATTTGAGAGAGATTTTTTTGGTTTGATTTAGAATTGATTTTTTGAGAATTTTTTTTTTAAATTATAAATTAACTTGCTAAAAATGAATATATATATATATATACTAAAAATTTTTAAAATTATTTGTACATTCAAATGAAATTTATGAATGTTTTTAAATTTTAAATTTTAATAAAAGTATTTGAATAAAATATATTCTAAAAATTAAATCAAACAATATTTAACCACTATATAAAACTTGTTATTTATTTTTATTTTTTTGGTTCGTCCTTGCCCTTTAAAATTTAAAGAGTAAATTATAAACATACACTTTGAGATTTGTTTAAATTATGATTCCTTTATAATTCTAGAAATTACATCAAGAGGGTATTTGTAATTTTTTAAATTACAAAAGGCAATTCGTATTTTAAGCATACCTCAACGGATATATTTATAATTTATCTTTTTTTAATAAAGAGGTGTTTCTAAAACTTAAAAATGGAAGTTAACCACACACATTATATCTGTATTAATTATGAATTATGTACAAACATTTTTATTTTTATTGTTATAATGGTTAGTTTTGGTTAAGTTACAACTATGATCGTTTTAGTAATGACTAAAAATAGCATATCGCTTATAACTAAAAAAATTTGTTTATGACCAAATGACTAATTAATGGCACGTTTATTTTTAGTTCAGTTGCTGAAAGTGAAAGTATATATGATATACATTTTTTTACAACAGTGTATAATAAATTTTTCTATACATGTTTTCACCAAAAAATAAAAATAAAATAATAAAAAAACTGCACACCATACGTCCCTCTACTTCTAGCCATTGAAATTGAATAAATAAAAACAATAAATTTTGATCATAGTCAATGAGTTTCAACTAATATTGTTTTGAGATGTAATCAAGAACCACGGTGATTGTTACTTTATTTTCCACAATGAGAACATAACAAAACACGAGAAGTTCTAAACAACTTTAATTTGACAATTTGATAGCTTGACACCACCACAATGATCCATTGTCTAATGCCACAATAGTTCCTAACCAACACGAATTTTGATCGCAGGAACTAAAACCAATTTTGCTTGTAACTAGCATATGATACATATGACATCTCGTTTAAGAGCAATGAAGAACAAGATGAATAATATATAGTGCTCTTGAAATTAAAAAAAAACACTCTCAAATGACGGTTTCAAATATAGGCTTGCTCAACCACCACATTACAGTGTAGACATCAAATAGCCATTGTATTAACAAGCTTTGGAAACCTAAACAGCCATGTAAACGAGCCAACTCGGAATTCAGCTTTACATAAAAAATTGTGTGCAACTTTCCGAGCTTCATCAGCATTGGACTTTAGTTGCTTGTACAGCTTTGTTCCCAAAAATGCTTCTAAGCTTTCTTGTAGATATGCCTGGGCAATTAATTTCTTTTCACTGTGTGTATCAGGACAGCAACCTTTGCTTTTCTTAAATTATATTCTCTCTCTTCTTAACCTGCACATAAAGCGAACAAAATCAATTTTCCAGATATACTGACTTTATTCTTGTCACATTGTTTGTTTCCTTTTTCCTTTTTTTCTTTAATTCTAATAATTTTCCTTGTATGTTTGGAGTTGTTCAAAGCTGCAAGTTTCTATAGCGTTGCAACTCCAGAACACCATAATGGTTGTAGAAAATCAACTTGGGTCAATTCAAAGCACTGTCAAGGCTCTAATATTTTTTTTGATTATTCAGGTATCCCCACAGCCGAAGCATGGGACTAATCCTGAGGGCCCTGAAGTTAACGACCGGGCAAACCTCCAGTGGCCCGCACAGTAACCCGTGGGGAGTGGGATTCGAACTTGGGACCTCCAGGAGGAGCAAACTCCCAGACCCCACGTTTTCTTCCCTCACCCACTGGGCCACCCTTGCGGGTTGTCAAGGCTCTAATATTCTGACCTGATCATGAAGAGACTCCCAGGGATAGAACTTAGAAACTAACATTCATTCAGATGTATGGACAGCTTGCATGTTTATGAGCACAAGGGGCATCCAAATAATAGAAATTGACTAGCATACAGGTGTTCTATTGTTCCAGATGAATGCACTGTTAAGGACAAAGTGAAAGGCAAAATGGACATAAAATGAATTCACAAGACACCCATTAAACTATAATAAAACAGGAGGACTCTTAAAATGGTTTATTGGAAATTATTTCACATAAGAGAGATCGGGTATGTTCAAATGTGATCAATCCAAACGGCTGTCTTGTCAGTGGAAAAAGCATAACCCTTCAATGGGTTGCACCTATTTTGAGTGGTTGTGATTATTTACAAAAGGATATGAACAACACCATTCATACTTTACCAAAACAGGAGGTTTTGTGCATTTCAAAACAGGAATGCTACACCCAACCGCATCTTTTCTCTCTCGCATTCTCTTGTGTGATAACTAGTCTATGGACAATACCACCAATGTTTTTCATTCTCTTTCATCAACATTATCAAAGCAAGGCTTTAGACCTTACAGTCTATGAAAAAATTCATTTCATCAAAGTAGACTTCAAATCTAGTTTGTGTGTTCTCCACAAGCCGACCTGAGCCAATCAAATATAAACATCACCAAGTACATAAACATATTTAAGGAGGCAATTCAAGTGGCAGTAGATAGTTAAGACTATGTTCATAGTGATAGTGTTTCATCCGGGCAATAGCAACTAATAGTTGATTAAGTTTGAATAACTAAAGGCGGAGGTTTGACACAGACCGTTTGACTAAAGAAACTCAGAGCATCATCGAGCTCCTTAACATTACTAAACCTAGATTTGGGTTTCACTAACAATGATCTAGGATTAGAAGTGTCTCTCTCTTCTAGTAGTATTAGTAGTACAACTAGTAATACCAATACGTCACTGAGGATGAAACAAAACTAAGTTGTTCAAGGAGAAGAGAATAGATGAACCTTCACTACTAAAAAAAACACTTTTTGCGACCGCTATAAACCGTCGCAAATAATAAAAAACAGTTGCAAAAGACTTTTTGCGACGGCCCATGCGACGGCAAATGGGGGTCGTGAATATGGGGGTGGCAAATACTTTTTGCGACGGCAAAACAACGGCCGCAAATTATTTGCGACCACATAAACTACTTATGGCGACCGCTATTTTGCCGTCACAAAAAACAAAGAAAAACACTAACATGATCTTTGGCGACTATCTTGTTACCGTCGCAAAAAAATAATAATAATAATAATAAAAATAAATAAATAAATAAAAGTGTAGCGTTAAGCACTCTAGGAATAACAATGACAAGAATTCAGAAGGATATACACTATAATTTTCCCCATGATTATGTTCGTGATATTTTAGGTCTGAAATTGTTCCCTAGAGCATATCGATTTGAGACCAAATCTGGTACTGCAATATGGTTTCTTCAGACTTGTAATCTGATTAATTGCAAATTGGTTTTCTTCATACACTATCATACTTCTTCTCTTCTTGTGTCGCTTGTAAACATTTCACATCTTTGGTCTCTCTCTTCTTATTGTGGCATTCAGAGAAACGTGTCCAATCTCTCTAGGGAACATTGTCTTCTCTCTCCTGGTCTTGCTTCTCTCTGTCTCTCTCTCTCCTCGGCATCTTGTTAAAATGTATTGTGGGTGCTGTTTGGTTCCAATCTGAGATCCCTTATATGTTTCAAGTAGCAGTGAATTTTATTTGTTGAGAATGGGTCTTTTTCTTGGGATAGAAATAGTAACGGAAAAGATCCTGAACATATAAGTGATGTATTAAAGGTATGCATGATTATAATACTGATTTTATCTAGTAAATGAGTTAGAACATGTGTCCATCGGAGACTTGAGAACTCTGTCCATCCTGCTTTTGGAGGTTACAGGAGATACACTCGAGCAAAAGAATAGGATTCATTCATTTACTATAGAAGCAAGTACGACATGTAAAATACTGCATAAAGGTGTATGTCATCGGTGCTTGTGGGGATTATTATGTTCAAGACGGGTGCAACCCCAAAATACCAAATGTGATAATGTGTTCTATATTTTGGCTGTCATTATTGGATAGATCCTTTCCAAGGTGGATACTTACATTAAATGTCTTTTAGTAGTTGAGCCTTAGGTGTGTGTTTACTTTAATGAAATTGAACAAGTGAGAATTGATTTGCTTTTATGATATGTTACTATATCACTTCACAGGAAACGTGGGAGTACATTTATGTGTGTTGTTATGAGCTTGAACATAGTTTGAATTAGGCTTCCTCCCCACTTGAGAAGAGAACCGTCCTGGAATTCAAATCTTGTCATCAGCATTTTGTCGTGGAATGGTAAGGGATTTGTCTAGGTCTATGGTCTTTGAATTTTTGATGAGAATTTGGAGCTTGTGATAACAACTGGAAGGTACTAAGGAACTTTCTGAGCACACAGGCTTGAACCAAAACTTTGCATAAGTTGGTTTGAACAATAACCTAAATAAGACATTAAAAAGAGTTTGAAAAACTGTATGAAGAAAATAGTTACCACCTTGCTATGTACTCTAGAAATAGAAAAATTTGAGAGGTGTTGAATTTTGGGATGGCTATTAATAGAGAGTAACTTTTTGGCTGCAAATCAAGTGAAAAAAATTAAGTTAATGTTTGGGAGAATTTTTGGATTTTTTTTTTTAAAAATAAGAAAAAAAAGTAAATGAGAGGAAGAAATCTGAATCTTATCACTTTTTGGTAATAAAGTTTTATTGGCTTTTGCTTTTAGTAATTTTTAGCTTTGGAGGACTATTTCGATTTGTAAATTCCCAAAGCTTAGCTATGTGGCGTCCATGAATGTTCTATAAAGTTTTATCCAAACAAAATGAAACATAAAAGAAAAAAATTACAATAATAGAGTAGACACATAAGTTTACTATTGTTAGTTGTTTTTAAGTTTTTTAATTTGTATGTTTTTCCTTCCCCTTCTGTATTTCAATTTTTGTGCCAAAAGAATATCCTCTTGTCCTAGACTTCTAGCTTTTATTCCATAGATTGCAATGACAATGTTGTTGGTCTTATTTTCTGCTACATTTTGTATCCAAAATTTTTATACAGTAATCTCTACATTTTTTTAGGAGGCTTCTTCTAAAATGAAAAAAAATGGATAGAACAAACACTAGAAGAATGACTAATTCCCATTTCTTACCGGGAAATCTTTTTTTAGATTCCTTATTGTATCCTTCGTGAGCAGAGTTTCTCATAAACTAGTGGGAGATATGTGTGCAGGGCTGTGTCAAAAGTTTATAATTCCAACTGACTCTCTCATCAATAGCACACCTCCTTCAATCAAACAAGAGTGGTTTGTTCAATTCACCAGAAGTTTGGTATGGCCTGATATAGATTCTGAGTTTACCTTGACTTAATGGAGGGAGAACTTCACAACAAATGAATACACCTATGAGTTGTATCTGGGACAAGATTCGAGGTCCTCTCTTAGTTGTGGGGGGGTTTATCACTATTTATTGTAAGCTCACTATCCTTACAACATGAGATTTCATTTATTGTTGGGAATCATGGGTGCACAAATGCAGTATAAAAGCTTACCTTTTTCAATTGTGGAGAAAGGAGCTTTTCCCCTCGCATATTGGCTTTCATTTCTTGCACTAGGGAGTAACAAGGTGTTATGCCAGTTATTGAATGAAGCGGTAGGAGATAACACCCGAGACAAGGAAAGTAGATGGAGTAAGATTGGCCAGTGGCTGGACTATGTATTTTTTCATATAAAGAAAACTTTTCCAAGTAGTTTTTCAGTGTAATATCTACTATGTTACATATGGCTCAAATTGTTGAGACTCAAATAGAATGTTCAATAAAACTAAATGCTATATTGTTC